TTAGACATATGTCTGTTATAGTATATATAACTTGAAGGTGCTAATGTAGTTAACACAGTGCCAGTGCAGGTTTGTGTTTTGCCTTTTTCGTAATAATCGTCAAAACGAGTCGCATGCTCCACTTGTACAATATTGTATGATTAGCTTTTGGACATAAAGCATCTCTGGTTGTTATTCGACATACTCTCTCTCTCTCTCTCTTTCTCTCTCTCTCTATCACTCTCTCTCCTTCACTCTCCCTCTCTCTCTCCCGCCTCTATATCTTACGATATTTGCTAGATCTTTATTTGCTAGAACTACTATTGCCAGAACTACCTATACTATCGCCCGTTTGTCATATGTGATATATTGAAGCTCCTAGTGGAAAATCTGTGCCTCATGTTGTCTCCGATTCAAAACGACCGGTCCCCGTCCCCGTCAAATCAAGATATTCATTGCGTATCAGAAGCTTGTTTTGTACCGTTGGTTCCGAGAAACTTTGGCGGCCGGTGTGCTAAACGGCCCCGGCTTAGCCTTCCAGGAAAACCGTCTGCTTGAGAGCCCAGTCGCACGTCACACACGCAGGGAACTTTGTAGTCTTGCCAGCAGGCTTCTTGGCTGGCCTTTCGAGTTTTTGTTCTGTGACGGTCTTCTGATTATGTATTAGCATCTGTCAGGCTTCAAGAGTGACTGGGAAGAGCTAGTCTCCACCAGACTCCTTTTGCAGGCTGAATAAATCGTTGAAATCGGCCGTGCAGGAAAATGGAGCTTCTCTGGCCAATTGTATCCCCTTAGGCCGATTTCTACGATTTATTCAGCCTGCAAAAGGAGTCTGGGGGAGACTAGGAAAGAGAAGAAATTAGCAACATAGACAGATAACATCCTCTAAAACAGTACAGTTTGGGAGTGGCAGACCCGTACTTATTTCTACTCTTTCCAGCCGCTTCTGAAGCCTGGTAGAGGCTAATATATACTTAAAGTCAAGGATGGGAAAGGTTTGCAATGATTCCATACCCTGGCAAATGTAACTCTTTGCTTCCTGGAACTGTTCAAATCTCTTCAGGTACTGAGATTGGTCTGTAAGCATGCCGTGTGAACGTTTAATAGATTACTCAGAAAACATCAGAAGGTTATTTCTGGACCGTTTACGCAACGACTTCTAGTTAATAGGCTAGTGAAGTACTCTGTATTACTGTGGAGACTGGATGAAAGAAGTCTGGTTTGAAGCTAATCTCCAAGCAGATCTTTTGGTGGTTGCAAAGACAGAATCAAATTGGCCAGGAAATGGTAACTAAGGCTAGCTGGGCAAAAATGGGTACAGCCTGGTCAATTTGATTCTCCCTTTGCAGCCACCAACTGAAGATCTGCTTGGAGATTAGGTTGAAGCGGCAACTTCTGTGCGATAAATTTTTCTTTGTAGTAGAGATCTAACGTTAGAATTGTAGGAGAGCAAGATTTGAAAATGGGAGAAGTTTAGTACCCATTTCAAGCATCCATTAGTCCATAGAAAGCTTTTTTTTAATCGTTAACGTTGCCATCTCTATATGTTTATGTTTATGTTTATTAGGAATCTCCATTAGTAATACAATGTTTGTTTACTAGTCTTCCTAGAGTCCTTTAACATTACATTTAAAAGATGAAATATGATCAATTACAAAGTTAACTTAATAGCTACAATTACAACATGCATATACAACAACATCCTTAACACAATCTACACGTAGGCCTACTTACTTATATATACAACAATTAAAGCTAGCTTAAATTACATACTTAAAATACAGTCTCTATAGGTTTTCAAACGGCTCCAGTCAGTTTTGAACAACGCTGCATCAGAAAAACGTTTACAGTCGTCAGCAAAAACGGCCGCACGAAAACATCAACATCAACCGACAGGGCGGCCATGTTTTGATGTTACCCTTGGTACAAAGGTCATATAATAGTAGTAAAGGCCGCTTGTTTTTACCGCGCAAAACCGGCCTCTAGGTTTTGTAAACACCGTACGTAGATTTGCAAAGCTAGCATCTGCGATCTAAAGGTTTACTCTGGCACTGACGTAACGTCACAATGTGATCACGAGAGTTTTAATCATTTCCAGTATATATATAGCGAAATAAGATTCCTGTTTATTTTACTAGTAAGGCCATGTTGATTTGATTATATGGATGACATCCCCCGGGAGCCCCAAAACTGATGCGCGCGTGCGAATAAAAAAAAGTTTTGCAAAAAAAAAAGTTGTTTTCATTATGAAATCTACGTGGTCATGAGGGTTGAACAAATGGGACAGAATATGGTTTGGCGAATTATCTAGTTTTCAAGTTCATTTCTTTACAATTTCGTATTTTTTCGTTTGATTTTGGCATTCTACGACATTGGTATAGTTTTTATCTATTCATTTTTTTAAACTTACGGTATATTTTTGCTCATTTTGCAACTGTTTTGTACGATTTACAGTATGGTTGAAAACTTTTGTTTTTGGAAACGGCCGAAAATCCATGCGCGCGCAGATGTCATCCATATAATCAAATCAACATGGCCTAAGGACAAAAGTGCAATGGTATAAAAATGACAAACAAGACGCCTGTGCTAAAGCATTACCATTCGAAAAAATTATTATTTCACCTTCAGATAGTTGTGACTCTACAATAGCCTCTACTACCAGGTTTACGTTGGAAAGAGTAGAAATTGGCCAAATAGACAGGTATTCAACCGTAACATGTCAGGGGAGTTGGTCCGCTCAGAGTACAGTTTGCCGCTCATGTTATCCGTCTATTTGGCCAAGTCTACTTTTTTCCAGCCGCTTCTGAAGAAGCCTGGTAGATGCTAACTCTACAAAACAGAGGTGTGGCTAGGTGTACATTTATCATTATACATAGATCTAGAAGAAATTCCTCGTGTATGTATGTAAAACATTTACAAAATGGCAGGTGCTTTGTGAACCAAAAAAAAACAAAAACAAAAAAAACAGGACTCTTGGGCCCACAAATTATTTCGGAAAAAAACAAACTTTGGGCTTATCCAGATGTGAAATACTGTATGCTCCCTTCGTTGGGATAAGATGACAATAGAGCCATGCAATCATGCATCCTAACAATAGCCTAGGCTATAGCTGACTACCTAGCTGGATAGAACAATAGGCAGTTCACACCTTTACCTGTGATGTGCTAGACTAGTCTAGCTTGGGATTATTAACAATATCAATACACATATGCATGATTGTTCAAGCAAGGGCATATATGAGTGCATGTAGTTTTAGAAGTAGTGATTGGTTTATTGAAAAGAACAAAGAACATATCAGACTTGCAGTAAAAACTGAATTGTGCTGATATTTACAACTTATAGGATTATACAATACTAGATATAAGAGGGCAACTTACACTTGTAATATACTAAATTTATAAAAACCATCGTCGTCGTCATATTATTATAGCAAGTAAAACAATATAATTTATCACGAGTAAGATCACTACTGTCGTTCTACATTAAAATGACTGAATTCGAAAGTCTCTGAATTTTTAAAAGTTAGTCTGGTACGAGCGCTAAGGATATGTACAGTTGGCGGTAAGAATTCGATTAATTTTATACTGTATATAGTGTCCTCTGTTGAAGTAAGATTGTGTACTATGATGTACAATCATTCAAACATCACATTCACATATTTTCTAGACATTATGGTTAAGATTTTGGGACAATATACGTTTGTATTGGTAATTCTGAGAGGCACATGTATGTGTATTCACAATTCAAACACACCAGTGCGTAGCGTTTTTCTAAGGACGATTAATGTTACATTCAGGTAACATTCAGGTTACATTCAGGTAACATTCAGGTAACATTCAGGTTACATTCAGGTTACATTCAGGTTACATTCAGGTTACATTTATTCAGGTGCAACCACTTCTCAAAGTGAACAAAGTGCTAGCAACAGTGCAGTATCCACAAAAACGATTTTTGTAATTGCCAACACGTACGTCAAAAGTTGCATTGTTGGCTACTCGGATTCAAGACAAAGCCTGTGACTACCATGTAGTGGACGTACAGTCGTACACTGAACTAGAATTGTGTGTTATCTTGAAAGTTCATCTGTGTTGGTAGAAGTCATTATGCAGCAAGTTTAATTTGGGTGAGTCCAATTTCTTGTGTTGGAAATAGAATTATGTGTATTCAGATTAAGATTCAACCCCTGGAATTTCCAAACAAGTTGGTATATTCATTTATTTTTTTCTCTTTTCCCCCCACAACGTGCAATTTTGCACGTACCTACTTCCCGCTAAAATTAATAATATATGTTCCTTTTTTTCGCTGTTCAGCATTTTGATAACCAAGCCAATGCCCTAGCCTCTACCAGGCTTGAGGAGGCGGCTGGAAAGAGTAGAAATCGGCCAAATAGAGGGATAAGCATGCCAAGGGAGTTTGTCCGTTGAGAGAACATTTGGGGTGCGGCGAAATGTTCTCTCAACGGACAAACTCCCTTGGCATGCTTATCTCTCTATTTGGCCGATTTCTACTCTTTCCAGCCGCCTCCCCAAGCCTGGTAGAGGCTACCAATGCCCTACAACAAAAAGCGACGAACAGGCCGAATTTATTTAGTCTCTACCAGACTAACTACGCTGGCTATATACAGGAGAATATTTGCCAGACGAGTTTGGCCGCCTTGGGGTTTGACTGGCCGCAGAGGGAAAGAACCAACCTTCCGCGGTCGGACTCCGCTGGCCAATTTTACTCTCCTTTTTGCCGTATTCCCGTAGAAAGGCCTGGTGGAGGCTACAACCATGCCAATGCCCTACAATGAAAACCGATTAACAGGTCGACTTGAGTGTTTCACGAATGAACATACATTGTAATCTCAAACAAACAAAAAAGTACTTAAATCGGACATGTGACGATGTTACAATACCTCCAAGATCTGACGTCATGTTATATAAGAAGAACTGATGCGAGACCGTAACGATTTTCACGTGAGAACGCATGCGCAGTAGCCCCGCGCTGAGAGGGCATGTGACTGTGACGTCACCAGGTTAGCGTCCTACAGGTCGGTTTTAGATCGTTTATAAAGCAGCCAGGATTTGATACCTGTACCCAAACCGCTGACTTGTCTGTGCCTTACGCTGGTCTGCTGTCCTGTCTAGTCTCAGCTACGCCGTCTTGGAGGGAAAATGCTGAAGTTCGTCGCTTTCGGTGAGTATTTGTGGCGTTTTATATTGATAACGTTACATGATATTATAATATATATACAGCGTAACGACAGCGACATGTTTTCGTGGCTATTTAGCAAAACGGCCTGGCAAAACGGGAGCTGGCCAGGCCCCCGTCTGGGTGATTTGTAGTGAATCTCTAACTTCTATGCGTGTGGTGGGTTCTTTAACGTGCGTGGGGTGTGGCTCTCCCCAAACACGGGGGCCTCATCGCCATAACATCTCCTGTTGTAGAGTGAATGGTGTTTGTACATATCTGTATATAGTGTGTTTCTGTGTACCTGTCCTGTCTTGTTTACAAATTGTAAAAATCGAATACATAATTCAGGGGTGCATTAGCGTTCCCTGCTTTTGTACGATTTTGTTGTATTGAATAAATTGAATTGATAACATTATGATTATATATGTACCAATAGTTGACTCATTTGACTCGCCAGGGTGACTAAATTACAGAATATGACGTGGAAGGAGCCAAGTGTACAACAAGCCTATGTTTTAGTTTCAGCAGCTTTAATATAAGTTATCTACTCTGCCACACCTGTCCCTAGAAAACAGAATACACGGCGACCGATTTTTCTATAGCTAGTGTAAATCGGGTCTATTTAAAATGAAGGTCGACGATAACAACTATTACAGGCTCTCGTTCTTCCCTCGCACCATCAAGGAGTGGAGTGAACTTGAGCCCAGTGTGGCGGAGGCGAAGTCCATCTCCCAGTTCAAAGCAGAGCTGGGACGGGCTTCGCTGCATTGAGCTGCCTCCCTGTCCTTGTACATATGTAAATATGTGTAACACTAGCACCATTGATTTCACTTGTCCTGTCCTTGCACTTGTCTACGTCCATCCCTACCCTACCCTTTGTTTGCACACAGTCACTAATCTGCAAAGCTGCTAATAATCCTCTTCTTAGAGGAATGAGCAGTACCGAAGATGATGATGAACATGTTCTAACCACGCAGTTCTTTCCCCTTTCCCGCCCCAGCGCTGTTCCTGACCGTGGTGTCGGTGTCTGGAGAAGGCTGCTGCGCGCCCAAACAGTGGGAGAGCCTCGTGGGAATCCAGAACACCACTGCTGTGGACGGAATGATCAGTGAGTTGTCTTACAGTAACTTCTCAGACCTTTATTGCCCAAAATACTGATTTTCTTTGCTGAGAAATTATGGTGCCGACTTGTCCTGGGCTTAGTGTCGAGTAGTCTTGAATGTCCAGGGATCAAGTTGTCCTGACACCTATAACATATATGATACAACGGATGACAACAGGTGTATTACAGTTATATGGAACTACTGTAGTTTACCTACCAAAAGTTGCGGTGTTGAGATCGAGATAATCTCCAAGCAGATCCGTCTCGGTGGCAAAAAGACAGTGTCAAATTGTCCAGGCAGTATCCATTAGCCAGAGAAAGTCGGCAGCCACCGACGGTGGGGGTCAGGACAAAAAAAAAAAAACGGCCATATGTAAAAATGTAACAATCATTCTCCCACAACCTCTGCTTGGAGAGTAAGATCGAGACACCAAAGTTGCGGTGTTAAAATTTGTCCCTGTCGGCCACGGTGAAAGATGAACGTTATTTCTTGTTCCACAGAGGTGACCCAGACCTACGCTATGGAGTCCTACGACTTTGACAGGAAGAAGATCGCGATGGTGTTCCCAACGGAGGGATTCAGAATGGTGCAGGACTACGACAAGGTAAATCACATACTAGTATAGATCAGTCCTGAATTCGCAGTTTAGCCAATAAGGCCCGCCACAAAGGCCCGATTTACACGAGAAAAAAATACATGCGTCCTACCAAGATCGACATACGTCGCACGACAACACGTCGCACGACACACGTCGCACGACACACGTCGCACGACACACGTCGCACGACACACGTCGCACGTCGCACGACACACGTCGCACGACACACGACACACGTCGCACGACACACGTCGCACGACACACGTCGCACGACACACGTCGCACGACACACGACACAATTTTAATTGTCTTAGGACAAAAAGTACTGTACGACAAGCCATTGTCAACGATTGGCTATACCATAGCCACGTTCAATCTTATGCCAACATTGTGAATGTCGGAGTGTGTAGTATGGAACGGTCTTTCAAAATATGGAGTTCAACGTCTAAATCTATGTTCTGTCCATGCAGAAAAAGCTGTACATCATTGCTGGAACATACTGTTCCGCCATTCCTTGGCCTTACCCTATGATCAACTGCATACCTGGTACGTATGAACTATGAACCGGCCCTGTTTAGGCATTATATACATATATACCTAGTTACCACGTCCGCACAACGTACTGTTCCTGCCGGTACCGGGATTTTCCACGATTTTCACTGGATGCATGCATTGCATGAAAAGTTGACCAATTTCAGACGGTTTCTTTTCCTACACAACATTTGAAAACTATAGACAGGATTTATCCGTTAATACAATCCACGAATGTGCGATGCTCAGCCCACGCCTGCGAGATGCAACATACACTAAGACCCCGTTCACAGTGAAAAAAAAAACGATCTGGATAAATTTTTACCGAAGGAAAACATATTGTTTTTGCTACGTTTCCTTTTCTTCTTCTCCAAACAGTGACCTCAATGACATGATCCAGACTGTTTACTCTGTTACCATGGTAACTAGTGTTGGGTTACATCATGTTGCAATTTAATAGCAGGACGGATTTAGACTCCTGTCTGACCATATATATGAATGTTTTTTAGTAAGAATTAACAGATCACACAATATGCGAAGGTAAACATTATGCATTTGCTTTGCAAACGTTACCTTTCTAGTTTATATCCCAGCCTTTCTTTACAGAAAACGCCACACTGCTTTTCTCGTATGAGATGGGCGGCTCGGGCGGACTGATGGTGAATCAGTACAACCTGGACGCTTTCCTTCATGACTTCAAGGGGTCGATGCAATTCACCGACAAGTGTATCCCTGTTTCACAGCAACAGTATTTCGGTGGGTGTTTTTAGATCTTTTTATCTGGTCTTTAGGCTTATGGATCAAAATACGCACCACCGATTCGGAACTGGTCACACTATAGCCAAATATAAACCTCAAATAAAGAGATAAAAATGGCTTGGGTACCATCCGATTTGTGACGGCAACCCCGATTTTTTTGTCGGGGTTGGCGTTACAAATTGCACACGGGCTATGAAACTTGGCAGAACGACGTACTCACCTATGCCTCACCTTCGCCAAGAAACTCCTCAACTCTGAATTCAGTGACTGGTTACCCCCATCCCGTAAACAGATATCCGGCAGAAACACACGTAGTGCGAACAAACTGGACACTCCCATATGTAGAACAGCTCGCCACAAAAACTCTGCGATACCTTACATGACAAACTTGCTGAACAAACACTTTAACTGACAATCTGTAAATACCGACGTGACCTCATGAATTGTATTATATATAATAGACTATACAAGTTTTATCATATTTATTGATTTTAAACCGAATTTGATTGTCTACATGTATTTTAACTCCTTAGCGTTTTTAATCTATTTCATTGTAAATACCTGTCAATTCAGACTTATTGTCTGCAAGAAGGTGTGTGAATAAAGTTTCAAAGTTTCAAACAAACTGAAACAATTGGAATTTTGAGAAGTTTAAGAAACGCGTACGTTGATTGGGAATTTAGCAGTACATATCTGGTAGGGTTCAGTCAGACAAAATATATCAACAAGTAAAATATATCATTCTATACACTTTTCTGTTTGTATTTTGTTCAGTAGTCGTTGCCATACGTTGTACACTGTACACTTGTCATGCAATTTAAGTTCTTTCTTTCTATCATCAAGTAAAATTTCTCCATTGCAAACTCAGATTTTTCGATTTGTCATATCCAGTGAGGTTTACGGTGGTTTAGGAAAACGAAAGTTAGTGTGTAGTCTTTCTTTTCATGTACGTGTATACACATATTTAACTACATCTTGCTGTAGTGTTTTTGGTAGTATGATAGAGATATACTAGAGTTTTATTTTAGTTGACCAATGTGTCATGTGTCTCCACTACAGATTCGTATGTGACGATGTTTGGATTCACCAACGTGACTACTGGTATCAAGGACCCGTCAGTGTTTGATGTGCCCAGTCCTCCCTGTCCCATGGACACGGACATAGACAACGTGCTGGTAAGATTGTACATTATCTCAGTGAAAAATGAAGGTATTGTTTGTGTGTGTTTGTGTGTATGTCACAATGTGTGTCCGTACAGTCGAGTGACAACACGTGGGTGCAAGGATTTTTCTAACTAAAGACAATAAAATGTCAGACCCATGGCGTTAGGTCCTTAGGTCATGTTATGTTTACCGAAGGAAAACATATTGTTTTTACTCAGTTTCTTCTTCCTCCTCCTCTTCTGTTCCAAACACTAACCTCTGACCTAGCCAATGACATGATTTGCTGACGTCTGTCACCATGGTGACTGGTGTTGGGTTACATAATTTTGCAATTTCATGGTCTGCCCTACTCCTGTCACCATATACTCGTAGTACATGTATGTGAATGTGTTTGAGTAAGAATTAACAGAGCAGACCATGTCCGAACTTCAAGGTAAACATTATGCATTTGCTTTGCAAATGTTACTTCTCTAGTTGTATTGTCGTATTATGTAATGGACCACTGGAAGAATAGCTTAAGCTAAATGTGGATCTAATAAGAGATTGAAAATCGTGAATAAAACAAGAAATTCACAAAAGCTCATTTTTTTCCACAAAAACTCGTTGTTCAAACTTTCGATCTCTTGTTCAGTTATATTAGCTTGGTGTTGTTGAGTTCAGCTTTAGGCATCATGTAGTGTCTCCAGTTGAATTGAAACAATTTGATGTGCAGTTATGCGTAGTGGTTCGTATAATCACAGATCTGTCCATAAGGACAATGTTCAAATCCTTCTTCAGTGTTTTGTTTTTCTTTTACCTTCAGAAGCCGCTGTTGTTCGAACCTGCCCAGCCCTGACCTGGGAACGAGACTCACCTGTGACGACACTGTCGAGGTCGTACCCAGGGAGCAACACTCAAACATCATTGCTGTAGAAGAAAAGTATTAACGTTATGATTACTAGTAAATTGTCTGATTTCTTGCGAAATGACGTGACTAGATGCGTGAACGTGGCATGCGATAGCCTGAAACATGTAATTACCCACAAACAGCGGATACGTCGATTGTTTAATGTTTAGAAGTTGCCGGTAAAGGAGTTCAAGATATGATGTTGATGGTAAATGTATATGATTCGTTGGAACTTCTCTTAGTAAATCCACCAAATACTTGTGACAACATTGCAAAATAAACTTCACGTAACTGTCTTGAACAATGCCTCTCCTTTGTAATAGTGTTCGCTAACAGCAAAGTCCTTGTAGAAGAAATAAAATTGTGCATGTGATCTCATTGAGTTGTTTGAATTAATTGTTGCAGTAATGGAAGGCACCGCAAGAGGCGTTCGTGCATAGTAACAGTCTCCAGTAGACTCCTTAGACTCAAGTTAGAGTTACCAGTCATATAAGTTGCTGAATAGCAACTGTATCTCGTGTTCTGGATATGACAAATATATTTTGACAACTATATATTAGGAAAGAAGTGGCCCTCTAGCAGTTTTTACCTCCATGAAAAATGGAGGTATTGTTTTTGGCGTGTCTGTCTGTATGTATGTCTGTGTGTGTGTCTGTCTGTCTGTGTGTGTGTCTGTCTGTGTTTCCGCAACTTTGTAGTCAGCATAACTTCAGAACGCCTTTATGGATTGTCATGATATTTGGTATGATGGTAAGTCTTGGAAAGACAAAGGTCAAGGTCAAGTATGGGCCTCCTGGTGGATGACCTTGGTACTGCAGCAGAACTTCCGGTTTTTGTATCTTTTGTCCTGAACAAGCTATGGTCTTGAGTTTTTGGTGACAGATAGCGTATCTTGTCAGGAATAAGTGGCGTAAGTTTAGTCCCCCTAGCAGCTTGTTCTGGAACTGCAGGTTAGTTTCTGGTAAAAACTTTCAAAGCCAATAAGTCCAGATTGGAACAACGTATTTTCATCATTTTTGGTGTGTAGGTACCTGAGAGACAGTTGTACATGATTAAATGCAAATTATGCAAATGAGGACTTAATTTGCATAATTAATGAGGAAATTTTATAAATACAGTGTTTCATATAATGGTACTGCTATACATGTAATCTATTTAATCTGTGGCAGGCGGAACATCAACAGATATAAATTATGCAAATGATAACCTAATTTGCATAATTAATGTGAACATTCTGTGAATCCTTATTGGTGAATGATGGGAATTTTATACCTCGTAACATGTGTAACTTACTTAAAGGTATGCATCGCTATGCATATAATATGTTCATGTAGAGGTATTTGTATAATTAATGAGGACAAAGCAAGCCCATTTTTCATGGAGGTATGAGATCTTGGAACTCTTGTTTCTTATAGACTAGACTGCAAGAGAATAAGTAAAAAGTTGTCGATGGACTCAAGTGTAAGTGCAAGTCCTTGAGTGCTTGCTTTTCGCTGAGGCCGTACGTATCTGTATCTGTATCCTTCATAGCCGGTATAGCCGCCCCTCGGCGTGACACACCAGCTTCGCAGGTACGCGGCGCGGCGGCAGCTGGCTATGTCACACCGAACGATTTGTTACGTAGGATACTCTCCAAGCAGAGGTTGTGGGGGAAAAATCGTTAGCTTTTTATACTATGGCCCGTTTTTTTTTGTCGCTACCCCCACCACCATGGGTCGCGCATGGACCCTCTCTGGCCAATTGAACACTGCCTGGCCAATTCAGTGATACTCTATTTTTGAGCCCCTAGGATCTGCTTGGAGATTAACGTAGGATTCTTCCCCGCAGGTGTCACGTATTCCTTGTGCGAGTTTACTAACTTCTCGCTTCGACCTGAAGGCCACTGACAGCCGGGACAGACAGACCATTGTGAGCGGGAAACACGCGTGCACGGCTAATGCACTACAACACAAACACTTGCCAGGGGACCCTCCGTACCCACACACTGTACAAATAACAGCTTATCGCGCTGTACTGCTTCTGTCATCTCTCAAGGTCATCTTCGTATGGGATATTAAATTTTGAAGGTCATTTTTCGAAACCCATGGGCACTCCTACATGTTGACTATTCCCCCCTGTATCATGTTATACTAGTATTTCGAAATTTTGTCAGGAATTTCAAATGTGTACTATCTGTACAAATCTAAAGTGACTGGTGTCTATGTGAGAGAGATAGCTTGTTGGTGATTGTTTTGTAGAGAGCTGTACCATGCCAGTACTTAACTTTGTATAACAACAACCACACTTTGATACAGGAAGTGTTATTCTATACAGGAAGTACTAGTATTATTGCTAAACGTCTGAAGTTCTGATTTCAATGACGTCACAGGAAGACTTTCGTCGTCCAGTTAAAACCACAAAAGCAAGCGTTACCATGGCAACAAACCACCAGAGACGGTGTTCTCTTTTGGCCAAGTTTATATGAGGTAGATTTAAAACTAGTACATGATTACGTTACAGTATATCATATATACTCTAAAACTGTCGGAAGTTTCAGTCAATGACGAGAACTGAATGTTACTTGTAACACTTCTCTGTTGAACCAAGCAGATCCTAGGGTGGGAAACAACAGTTAATTTCCAAGCAGATCCTAGGATGGCATAAGACAGTATCAAATTGGCCAGGCAGTATCCACTGGATAGAGAGGGTCCAATATGCCGCCCTAGGATCTGCTTGGAGATTACCTTCAGTTTACGGACAGCCGTATTGTCATTAATTACTGTCTGGGTTCCGTAGTTTGCCTTGAAGTGACGGAAGTCCTTGACTAGTCAGACGAGTCAATGCTACCCTTTTTCTACGGCGAGACAGGAGACCAATTGTCAGCAACAGACAATTTCAAAGAGCATATTGAAGAATTCATAAAACAGCCCGAAGCTAGGGACCTTGGCTATTGTTCAAAGAGGAAGTAGTGTCCTAATTGTGGTGATGACACATTTGAGGAACTCGTACACGGTTGTGTTTGTCTCCACCGAACTCGGGAAGAATTCGCCTGAAAACCAGCTCCCTCGCCCCCGTTTCCGAGCAGGAAGTAAGTATTTACCGCGCTATTCGAGTCAGGGAAGGTCGATTTCTTGCTCCGTCGCGTCGAGGATTCATATAGTCTCCACCAGTCAACAACGCGGGGTCAAAAAAAGTGAAACTTAGCCAATAGGGAGAATAATTGACTAGAGGGGAGTTTAGCCAGCAGCGTAGAGTTCATTTTCCCGCGCAGTTAGAGTATAGGAATTTAACCCTCTCACAGACTGACTCTCCTGGCGAACTATTTCCCTTTTTTTGTACCGAATTCTAGGATCCGTACCCCCGTAGGAAGGCCTGGTGGGGGCTAGTGGTAACTTAGTCAGGCTCGGGGTTTGAGTGACAGGCAGACAGGGCGACAGACGAGAGCGGAAGACACAGGAGTCTGTACGGCACAGTTCGTCTTGTCAGGACAGGGAAGAGGCGAGAAGACACCGACCTACGTGTGTGCTGTTAGTGTTTTTTCTCCTTAGTTGCGACGACCTGTACATTACAGGTGATTTGGAGGTACAGCGTGGCGCCGTTCAAGATACGAAGAAGCTCCACAGTGGAACAGGTAAGGTAGAATATGTTAGACTACGTGTAGCTGTATAGTCATTCAACATAGTACCTTCGCTTTTGTATTTCACTACTTGTAATCTCTAATCAGGTGTGTTTGTTTACAGTTTAGGTTCCCTTTTGACGTTTTTAATGCATGTCGTACGTTCCATTGGTAATTTCGCCACAAATTTCTTTCTTGGTCACCTTCAAAAAAAGGAAGTGTCAGTTGAGTTTTTCCTTTTGTCCAAGTTTGTGAGCTTCAGGGTGTCAAAACTACAAGTTGTATTATGAGATGAGAAAAGCTTCCATGTATTCCAGAATCCCCAGTTAAAAATTAAGTTTATTTCCCGAAACACTGTCTGGTTAACTCCATGGTTTAGGCTATCTATATATGTACAGGTAGTACAATGTATTAGTATCTCACAGGCCGCTGCAGTTCGTCTGTCTTCCGCCTGAAGTAACTACAACATGGGGATCCACCACGATTGTGCTCACGGAAGAACTAGAAAGGACATTGAATGGTCTAAAACCATAAAATTGCCTTCCACATAACTTCCCGTCATTTCTCAAAAAGTGTGTGTGTGGAGGGGGGGG